CATTTTTTATATACATGATTCAGTATACATATAAAATTACAAAAAATGTTGATATATATGTTTCAGTATACTGACAGAATTATAAAAAATTTTGAAATATCGATGTTTCAGTATACTGATAAAATTATAAAAAAAATTTGATATATACACATGTTTGAGTATACTGATAAAATTATAAAAAAACACTTTATTAAAGTAATACATTACATCTTAATCAAATATCACCATGACCAGAACCAGGAACTTGAATTGTTCTTTGGCATTTGTTTTTATTGTATTCAAGATTGGCCTCTCTTTTCAAAGACTTTGTGTCTACTTTTGTCATGGTTGCTTGTCTTTGACACAAAGTTAGAGAAATGCTTCCATAGCTATTATAGGTCCACACCTTACCTCAAAAACAGTATTTAAGTCTATCTTAACAAAACATGCAAAATGTAAATGGCTGAAATAAACATGGCATTATCAGAATCTTTTGAGTGGTGCTCCATTATTGGTCATAAATTGTGTTTACAAGATGCTATAGGAAACACTCTTATTGGTAATCAAAACACGATGTGCATAGACATTCTGCTCATAACTTACACATTACCCTGAACATGTGAACTGGACACCTTGACTGCCATGGAGTCAGGTCATGTTGCGAATATAATGCAGTAGTACAATTAAGTACTCTCAAACAACCAGAAATCACTTATTTTAAATAATCACTAAACCACATTCTGAACAAATGATCTTTACATAACAGTTTCTCGAAATACAGCACTTGCTAGAAATGTCATCTAATAGAAAGTTCTCTATGGTCTGGAAGTGTTTTACTGTTAAACATTTTTCCTTGAATATTATGTTACCACAACATATAGGGACAGATTGTTACTTCTTTAACAATACACAATAGAATGCTTAGGAAAGAACACACACACATATATCCCAAAATATTGTCATAATATTCATAGCAACTTATCCAACAATAGAACCTTCCAGATTATACCCTCTTGACAACCTTGTCTCAAAAAGTTTACAAAGGCATTCTATCCCTACATTTTCTTAAGTTTTAATCTCTTTTACATACACTTGCAAACAGTCTGCAGCTAATTTTGTAAGCCTTTATAAATGCAAAAACAAAACTTTATATAAACTTGTATACTTTTCAGTCCAACACCACCAGAGTCTACTCATTCATCCTCAACTCTTAACATGACTACTAGTTTAAAACAAGGTGCCGCATGTGCAGAAACTGGTACTCTTAAATCATTAGTAAACCAGGTTTTAGAATTATAATATTACACTGAAATTCTGATGAAAAAATGGTTAAAAATGAAACATTTTTCCTTTGAATCTCTGAACAGGAACAGAGAATTTGTCTGAATTTAGAAACCAGATTTACCTTTCTACATTTTATAAATGTTTTTCAGATAAAGTTTTATCAACAAATGCTACATTTCATTCATTAACCAATTCCTTTTGTTTCAACTAAGACTTCATCATGGTTTAGCAAAGAAAGCTCTTAGTGTGTTATTATTATAAGTCAATTAATTTTGCCAGGGATCTTCAACACGGGCATGATGAAAACTTCACAGTAGCTCAAAATATCTGTAAAGCATTAATGGTGCAAACAAGATTGATGCATACAACATGCTGTCACTCAAAAGACAGTGCAACACAACAATAGCTTATGCTATTTTCCCCTATTACTTAACCACAAAACATAGAATGTTTGAAGTGAACAAACCTCACTGCTCTGAGAATATAACAAAGAAATCAGATGCCTGTACCCTATCATTATCAACCCCCTGGGTAATATTATAAACTTGCAAACCTTTTTTTTTAAAAAAAGAAAAGTAGGTTACCTCAGTATATTACCTAAATTTAAAAGCTACGACTTATAACTACAAGATACGCTTCTAATTCCATACCAAGAATCATCCCATAAGCCTTCCTCTAAACTCTTTTCCAATAACTGAATAAGTCAATAGTCTTTCTTACCGTTAAAAAAAAAGGAGACTAAAACTAAGTGTGAGCAGTATTTCAAGAAAAGCCTAACAACTCAGCTTTAACTACTGATCTGTACACTGATAATTGTGTATTCGATTTGAAATCAGAACATCTAGCTACACCGTAATTTTATATACAAATATATATTCAAATTTATAACTTACCAAATCCCCTCCTCCCATCTTCTTTCAAATTACAACTAATCGAAGTTCAGTTTTTCTACTTAGTCCAGCCACCCACTGACCTAGCCTATTTAGATTCTTAACTTTTAAGTCAACACACTATTTCCTAAATTTCAAGTTGATTGAAGCCTTAAACTTTTATAGTTACACACAGTTACAGCACTACTTTACGTCTAACATTAGCAAAAATATACAACGGCTGCACATTTTAATCTTTTTTCTTTTCTTTTTCTTTTTTTTTGTACCCAAAAAATTAAAATGACCAACAGAACTGCCTAAACCTAGTTCTCACTAACATAAAAATATATATTTCTATCGAAACAGCAAGAGATTTCAGCTATATTTACGCCACCTTTCAATTAAATATCAACCGCGCATCTATTAGGCTATATAAACACTAAAAATTTAATTTTCAATTTTCAACTACATGTAGATTTTACATAATTTTTAACTCCGCAAGATATATATACATTTCAATGTCACAAAGAATAAAAAATATAAAGTTTACTACAGATACTTTCAAAATTATACTATTAAAATCCATTAGCAATGCAAAATACAGTTAGAAAAAATGTGGGAAATCATACATAGTGTTACGTCTCCGTTCGTTAGTTAATTTTCCGTAAAAATTATTTCCGAAGAAACTTTACCGATAGAAGTCCTTTCTTAAATAAAACTGGTTTATTCTTTCTAAATATAACTTTGCGATACACTTAATTTCAACAGTCGCGCTATAACAAACGCAATAATTTTTAACGAACGTCTCACGTGCTCGACTCAACAATACTCAGTTCAATTACACATATTGTCGCCGTCACTTTGTGACCTTCTTATATATACAAGAATACCGAATCTAGTAAGCTCTCGAGAAGTCAGGAGGAAACGTGAACGTTCGAAAAGTGCATGACGTGTTACTAGCATCACGTGACCTCCGCTGTCGTAACACTGCCCCTTTCTTAGTATTGTTCGTCCCGAACAATAGCCACTTACACTAAACCAATAAACAATTAACAATAACTTAATCAAATGTACATAATTTACAAACACAAAATTACAATTCAACAAAGTCTTAATTTTACGGGACGTATCTTCTTCCGTATTGGTCTTTGTCTCGTTAGCTTCTGCTTCATGTGGGGTTCATCTGCTTCATCAGGAAACGT